CAAAGAAAGAAACAACACAGTATGGTGTCATATTGCATTAGCTCTTGACAACAACAGCCTTTTATACATACGACATGACTGTTTGTCGCCAGATGGTGTTGGAGACGGAGTAAAAGCGTGGCGTCTACTGCAACAAAGATTTTCTAACGTAGAAAAACCAACTGTAATAAGTCTAGTTCGACAAATATCTTGATTACAATTAGGTGAAAGTGAAAAGTTATCCGAATATTTCATACGATCACAAGAATTAATGTCTCGAATCACTGAAGCCGGAGAAAATATATCAGAAACATTATTTAATGCTCGTGTCATTAATGGACTTCCAGAAAAAATTTGAACACTTCGTGGTTCGAGAAAGTTTCAACCCAGCAGCTAACTTCTCAGAACTGAGACTCGTTTACAGAATTACGAGGATAGTCGGATTCAAAGAAAGCAAGAAGAAGATAGCGCAATAGCAATGCATTCTGGAAATGCATCAGGCAAAAACAAAGCCCCAATCAAGCAAAAAGGAACTTGTTATGTTTATGGACTCCCTGGTCATTTTGCCAAGCAATGTAGTAAAAGAAGTTCAGCTTTCTGTTCATAGTGCAAGAAAAAGGAACATCTATCAAGAGCATGTAGGAGTCAGAATAAAACCGAAGAACCTTCAACAAGAGTACCAAATTCGTTCTCATCATACTCTCAATGCATGAACAGTGGCACTGGAATAAATAGTGACAGTAGAAGATTGAATTATATCATCATTGATACCGGTTGCACAGATCACATCATTACAAAAAAGGAACTATTCGACAACTTAAAACCATGCAATACTAAAAATGTTAAGGATCCAAAGGGAAAATTAACACCTATCGAAGGTATTGGTGACGTACCAGTAAAGCTTTTATTGAACGATGGAGAAGAAGTAGAGATGGTACTGCGAAACGTCCTTTATGTGCCAAATTATGAAGTCAACCGAGCTCTCAAATTTGGACATAAGTTCGTATTCAAAGAGAGTGAAGCAAAGTTGATGTTAAATCATGGTCCAGAAATTGCTCTAAACAAAAATGCAGGTTTATTTTATCTGGAGATCATATTCCAAAATCCAGTTCCTGTAATTCCATTACAAGCAACCAGAATAAAAGATAAATGAAAGGAGATTTTCAACTGTGGCATCAACGCCTCGGACATTTGAACAAAGATGATGTCAAACGCACAGTTTACTGCGAAGACAAATTAAAGAAAGTGTGTGTAACATGCGCACTTGGAAAGCAATCATGCAAACCTGTACCTAAAGAAGCGCACAATAAGTCCCAGAAACCACTCGAACTGGTATACACAAATATTCTTGGTCCATTTGAAGTGCCTAGCCTCAGTGGATGCAGATATGCAATTACCTTTGTGGACGAATACTCGAAGTACGCAGTCGTTAAATTCATGAGCAAGAAAGCACAAGCGTTTGAAAAATTTAAAGAGTACGTAGCAGAATCAGGATTACCTCGAAAATTGAGAAGCGACAATGGAGCAGAGTATACATCGAAGCAATTCAAAGCTTACTGCATAGAATCAAAAATAAAGCAGGAATTTACAGTACCTGAAACCCCGCAACAAAATGGAGTTGCCGAACGCTATAATGGAACTCTAGTTGAAATGGGACGATGTCTATTAATCCAAGCACAGTTACCAAAACGTTATTGGGTAAGAGCCTTATCAACAGCATCTCATATCAGAAATCTCACCGTTACTGCCAACAGCGAACAAGGTAAAAGTCCTTTTGAGCTATTCACCGAAAAACCCCAAGATTAAATCATCTACGCACTTTTGGCTGCTCAGCATACGTCATGAAAAGGAAGATCAACCTAAAGAAATTGGATTCAAGATCTGTGAAAGCAAAATTTATTGGTTACGATGACAAAAGCACGGCTTACATTCTGCAAGAATTCGAATCAATGAAAGTCATCAAAGCACGCAATGTTGTCTTCAAAGAAAGTGAAATTCAACCTTTTTCAGCAAAAGATACGACAAATCCAGAACAACCAAATCTTATGAGCCCCAACATGGATTTCGACGACGATCGTTCGAAAGATGAGAAAGCAAAAGAACCGATTAAAGATGAAGTGGGGGAAAATAATGCACCGATACCTGCTGTTCAACATCAGCAAGAAGATGAAGAAAATCCAGAGGAAGAAATCTCGCTTCCTAGAGAAAGCAGAAATCGGCGGCCACCAGAAAGGTATGGATTATACAATACGTTCAACAAAACTAATGAAGAAAGTGTGCAAGAACCCAAGTCTTATCATGAAGCAATTAATACACCACACGCTGAAAACTGGAGAAAAGCGATGAAAGCAGAATATGATTCACTAATGGACAATAACACATGGACAATAGTGAACGAACCAGAGAATGTGCAAGTCTTACCAGGAAAATGGGTATATAAAGTAAAGTATGGAGCAGATAATCAAATCGACAAATTTAAAGCAAGATATGTAGCCAAGGGTTATGCTTAAGTCGAAGGCTTAGACTTTTTCGATACTTACGCTCAAACATGTAAACCCGAAACTTTTCGAATCCTGCTCGCAATGACAGCACAAAAAGGTCTACATATTGACCAGATGGATGTTAAATCAGCATACCTTCACACCAACATATAAGAAGAAATTTACCTAGAACAACCAGAAGGTTTTACCAAGAAAGCAAAATCAGGACGAAAGCAAGTTTGCAAGCTAAACAAATCAATCTATGGATTGAAACAAGCGGCAAAGAATTGGTATGAAGCACTGGCTAGTCTACTTATTAAAGAAAAATTCAAACGTAGCTGCAACGATTATTGTTTATTTGTGAGAAAAGAAGAAGATGGAACATCCTCATACGTATTAGTTTGGGTAGACGATATTATAGTGGCTGGTACTAGTGAAAAAGCAGTTAATCATATCAAAGCAATGTTAAGCAAAAATTTTAAGATGGACGACCGTGGCACACTGCACTGGTTCTTAGGAATGCGAATTCTACGATCTCACGACAAGATTACCGTTGACCAAAAGAAATACATCGAATCTGTTCTTCAACAATTCAATATGAGTGATTGTAAAGCAGCAGCAACGCCTGGAGAAGTAAATCTGAAACTAATCAAAAGCAACGACGATCAGAAGTTAGTCGATGCGAAGTTATATAGAAGTTTAGTTGGTTCATTACTATTTATTGGTGAACAAACCCGTCCAGATATCCTTCACATTGCTAATCTGCTATCAAGATTCCTAGATAAACCAGACATTTCACATTGGAAAGCAGCAAAGCACGTATTAAGATATCTTAAAGGAACTATCGATTTACAATTAACATTCTTGAAGAATTCCAATCTCGATATCGTTGGTGATTCAGACGCAGATTGGAGTGGTGATCTCAATGATCGCAAATCAACTACAGGATATTACTTCAAATTTGAAGGGAACGGAGGTGCAATCAGCTGGGAAGTGAAGAAGCAGGCAACTGTAGCACTTTCGTCAACCGAAGCCGAATATCAAGCTATGGCGGCAGCTGTACAAGAAGCAATATACCTACGAGCACTAATGAAAGATTTAGGTTATCCAATGAAGAAACCAACCAACATTGGAGAAGATAACAATCTTGTATAAAGATGTGTCACAATCCCGTAATGCATAAACGATCAAAGCACATTGATACGAAACTACATTTCATTCGAGAAAGAGTACAAAGCAAGGAAATAAAGATCAGTTACGTTCCAACCGAAGAAATGACAGCAGACATTCTTACAAAGTCATTATCTCGTGTCAAAGTAGAAAAACATCGAGCAACACTTTTAGGGATTTAGTTAACCACATAGCAGACTCATCATGAGCAAGCTGAGTCTGAGTGGGGGTGTTAACATGATACAATATAACATAAAGTATTTAATTTGTAAAGTTAATGTTATTTCAGCTCTTTAGTTATAGTTCAGTGGACACGTGACAATCGTACGATCTTACATACTTCCTGTGCATGTACATATATATATTGTTGTTGTAAAATCAATACTTACCTTCTTTGAATAAAGTTCATAATCTAACAAATCATACCATAAATAGATGAAATGAAAGGAAGTACAATTTTTGATATCAAATTCGAGTAGTATATAAGAGCATGCTCGTTAAAAATTTCTTTATTATAAAGAAAAAATGGAAACAAACGTGTCATATGAAATTTTTTTACTTTTTCATTTGAAAGATAAAAGAAACAAAATTCGTTTTCAGCAGTTTATAAAGAAAAATAAAGAAATAAATTTAAAAACAAAAGAAAATCAAGAAGAAAATAAAGAAGAAAATCAATTTCAAGATTTTCAGTTTAGTATTCCGTTAAACATTATTTTTCCGGTTTGAAAACATATATTTAAAGCGCAATTTAGAATGAAAGTTTGCTTATTTCAAGGGCTGTTCCGCCATCTTGAAATGAGCAGCCAAAATAATTATATTTCATATGATGACGTCACAACAGGGACTTTGTCGCTGATGAATATTATTTATATTGCAAATTGACAAGCATTCTCATTTATTACGCAAAGTTTGGGACTTTACACTGCTGTTACAGCACTCAAAATCGAAAATATTAACAAAGATGCTATGGTTCAGTCATATATGTTTGAGTCAATGCCAGATGAATTTGTAGAGTGAAATTCTGACTCAGAAAGTTCTTCGTCGAGCGAAGTAGATGATCAGATAGATTTAAAGCTATGTATAGTTGGCGTAAAACTTCACTCAGTTGCTGTAAATGCAAGCCATTGTGAGTTTATGGCAAAACGATTGAATGCTTTTGCTCATGAAAAAGCGGTTGAATATGACGAATATGATGGCAAACTTAAATCGGCACAGGATGCAGGCTTGTCTTGCGTGACTGAACTTGCTTTCTTCAATCAAAACATATCGGCAAACGTCCTTGAAATAGATACTTGGCAGTATATTGAAGAAAACAGTCCGTTAGGTGATGACGAACTTGCAGTCATACAAAAATATACCAATCATGTTGCGTATCGAAGATGTTCGAGATGGATTTTCCATATTCTTGGCAAGAAATGTCGAAGGCCATTTCCATCTTGCATGTACAAATGCATACGAGGGAAGTATTGGTCATCTGATGCACTTTACACTCATTTCAAATATGCCAAGTAAATTGAAATTGGATTTGAGGTATTTGCGATTTCAAGGCTTTTAAATTTTCATCATGTATTGTTGCATTTCATGGTTTGGCAACCACAACTTTCCGTACATGGACGATTCTTATTCCTACAATAACATCGGTAGCACATTTTTCCTTATAAGACATACTTTGTCATTTATTTTATCGTCGGGCAAAGCAGGCGTTGTAAATCTACTGTGTCTGCGAAGAATGACTTCATTTTTGGCTGCCTTTGCTTCCCACAGTATGTTTCCACAAGTGAGAGGTTCTTCCGGAAGCAATGTTTTTGCATTCTCCAATGCTATTTTTGTGGTGTTGAAATCTTTACGAAGTCTCAGACACTCAGTCAGAACATCTTGCACATAATCTGAAAATTTTAAATGTATTTTGCATTAACATTTTGTCATTAATGATTCTGATTTGTCTATTAATTCTTACTGTAGGTAGGACAGTCGCTTATTGGTTTGGCCACAGCTTTTTCTCCTTTGTGAGCTTTAGGGTATGCAACTGACCATCTTTTATCACCTTTTTGTGTTGTTGCTTGGGGTCTATTAGCATTTTCATAATAATGTAAATTTGCACAAAATAACCTGAAAAATTCACAATGGGTAACTGTATAGGCTGGAATAACACATTACTCTTTATTGGTCAAATCAACCCTTTTTTAAAGTAAAATATGTGAGAAAAAATGCATGTTTTCACCTGGCCATGATTGAGTGATATGGATAGTATGTATTTTTTGATGCAAAAAGATTATCAAGTGAATGTTTTGCCTCCAAGCCTGATGTTTGTTGGTGACTTGACAACTTTCTAACTGCACTTATCAATCTTGGTCTTGAAATAAGTTCAGTTAGTTTCTTATGAGCTGCACTACCTTAAAAAGTATAAAGAGGTCAGTCTTATGAATAGATTGATAGGAAGCAAGATTATAATATACATGCAAATGCTTCGAGACCTGTTAAAGAACAGGTGCCCCGTGCACTTATTTTTTTTGTGTATAGTGATGAAGTCTCCATGAATGAATTGGAGCTAGATACTACCTTACCTTTTTAACCATTGCCGTTTAGTAGCTTCATGCAAGCATTTGGTAAACACCTTGTTGTCTTCATGAGTATGAATATCAGCAATGTGATTTGCCAAACTTTTCCATTTCTTCTTTTCAATTTCAGTGCTGCTGGAGCTTGCCACCCAATACAAATGATTTATGATGGACTGTTAGATAAAGTTTAAGATATAGCTACAAGTATCACTCATACTTCTCTGGAATGGCATGATATACATTTTTAAATGTAGTTACCCCAATCAAGGCTTAATTGCACAAAATTTCTTCTTTTTGCAAGTTTAAGTAACCTCTTTCTCTCCTAAAGGTTCAATTTAAATACATCATACTTAATCACATGATTCACAATTCTAGTGATTTGATCCACAACTGATGCACTTATATTTGAGTGATTAATACTTGCAAACAGAGAATTAGCTGCACCTTTGGCCACATGCCAAACATCATAAACATGTTCTATTTCTGGCTTCTCCTTAGCCATGTAAGATGTAACTTGGATGTGTCACAGTCACAAGCTTGGTAATTTTAACATCACCATTTTCGAGGTATGCAAGTTGACGCTTGATGGATTCTAGCTCCATGGCGTTGGAATTCTTGACTTCAGTGCTCTGAGTATTGATAAAGTATAGAAATATCATACGAAAGAAGACTATATTATATCAACGGAATATTTTCAGACGATCATTATAATATGTTAATAACCTCTGTCATTACCTTTATGATCTGTGTATCAAGTATGACATTGTTATCGACGTCCAAAGAACTCCCTGAACCAAACAACCCGCTGTGACCTGGGCTATCTACTCGCATATCTGACGCAATACAGCAAGTTTGTCCTTTTAGTTTTGTAACAATCTCTTTTCTCACCACCCCAAACATTGAACACGGCAGGTATAACATACGCCGATTGCAATCTTGATAATTCACGACGTGTGAAACATTTTTTTCAATGCACTGAGAGTCGAAGAACCTTAGCCCATTCTAGCCCTGTGGCCAAGATGCCTGAGGCCAGCATCAGGTGAAATACCGGTAGTCTATTACACAAGGGGCCTGTGCACCATGTAAAGCTATGGGTTTCGTCTAGTAAGCATTGAACAGATATTCTGGAAAAGGTTCCAATGGTGTTTGCTACGCTAACAAGGCATTTACTACCACATTTAGAGCAGCGATCGAAACATTCAACCAGGAATCTTCAAACACAATAAATTTCCTTTGATCTTGCGGAAGCTTGTTGCGTGACAAAATCTTACTCGTGCATTTAGATTCTACATTGCTGTTAATATTGTCTTCGAACTCTGAGTCTTCACTATTTGTATCTCCAAGTACGAATTCTTCAGTATCTGTATCTTGCTCCTGATCATATTCATTTCTATCATTTTTGTCCACAGTTTTGGAAAATCTGTTATCGTCAAGACCAATATCAGATGTGCCAAATGGCAACTGTACACAACCCAGAGTGGCTTTGTTTCATCTGTCTGTGAACTAGTGGATGTCATTTTTGCACTTTTTGTAAAAAGGTCTGCCTTTAGTCTCTCTGCCGTTATGAATGTTTGAACAGCGACACAACTGAGATATGCCTCCCAGTTGTGACGTCGTTGCATAAATCTGCATATCACATTATATTCAAAACAAATCAAAATGGCCGCGGAACTTTTAAATTGGAGTCAGAAACCTTTGTTACATGAAGACAAAAACTTTGGTTGAACTAACAAAGGTATATTATAAGTCTATGCGATATTTCCCGTTAATTAAGTCTAACTTAAAATATACGTCCATGTCCTTTAAGGAAAATTCGTGTTTCAGAGTGGATACAATATTTGAATTCTTCCAATAAAATTAACTGCCGTAAAGTTTCAAAATCTTGGACTTTTTCCGAAGTAACCATCGATCGAAAAGTTGAGCTTTTTGTTCAGCAAATTATTAGTCGGGACGTTCGTAACAAATTGGGGCCCACCCGGGAAAGAAATGTTTCAAGTTATTCAATTAAGCAGAAGTCAAAACGAAAAAGAAAATAGAATCCGAAACAAATCGAAATCATTTCAAAAACAAAATTTCACATCAATATTTTATAAACAACAAAAAGAGAAAAATCATTTATTAAAGTAAACTTGTGGACCAGTTGTTTCAACATGTCTCCATTTAACCCAGAAGAGTTTATGGTGGAACCAACATATGAGAAGATATGGAAATTAAGAAAAGATGATATAAAAGCTTTAGGGAAATATCTTAAGGTCGAATTAAACATTTCAATGTCTAAACGCGAAATACAGCATGTAATTTCAAAAAGATTATGCAACGATTAACTCGTTGATAAAGCAGTTTTAGAAAACCTAAGTATTTTCATGCAAAATACAAGAGGTGAAGTAGATAGCATTGCAAACAGATGTTAGTCAGGAAGAGTCAGACGAAAGACAATGCGAAGAGAGAAGAAGAAATAAGGTGGAGAAAAAACGCGAAAGTCTTGAATGGGATAATTGCTGATAATTTTTCGCATACTCATAAATTTGCAGTTAAAACTAACCCACATCCGTTTTCACCAAGAAACACTTAAACACACTTGATGGAAAACAAATATTCGTCACGATTTTCATCGCGGTTTCCGAACAATTACGCACAAGGCAGACAAAACTTACAAGGCAACGGAAGTCAAACAAAACAAAATTTCAAAAGCATGCAATACCAAGGAAAGCAATATTGACCCGGTAATTCCCCATTTCGACAAGTAATTTGCGATTATTGCAAACGAAAAGGACACACAAAATCTGAATGTTATTTGTTGAAATGGAACAGACCACCATCAAGACCGACGGGAGTTCTTTCAAGATCCGATAAAAATATACACAACACAAATATATCTGTACACAAAACCACTCGTAAGAATGCACAGGAGAATCCGAAGAAACCATTGCCGCATGAAACACTACACCATAATATCACAGCAAATAAGCGCAAAGATTTCAGTGACAGTGATATGGAAACTTTTAAACCTTTTATTCATGATGGTAATGTCACAGTTAACTCCAACCGTCAACCAGTTTATGTTCCAATTAAAATACTCCGAGATACAGCAGCTTCACAATCAGTAATATTGGGCAATATTTGCCATTTTCCGAGTAGTCATACTCAGGAAAGAATGTGCTGATTCGTGGCATAAGTTCCGCTAAATACGAATCAATTCCTTACACAATTTTAAATTGCAATCTGATCTTATAAAAGGTGATGTTGTGATAGGTGTTATCAACACCTTGCCCTTTGCTGGAATTCATCTATTACTAGGCAACAATTTGGCAGGGGAAAAGGTACAAGCAGGTCCCGTTTTAAGCAACAAACCAGTTTTCAAAAAACAATCCAACCTCACTGAGCAAGTAATCCCGGATTTATATCCTTCATGTGCAATAACAAGAGCTTTAAGAAAACGACGAGACGAAAATCTTAAAAACACGGAAAATAAGGACATACAAATAGAAAACACATTTCTTCACGATATTTTTGAAAACGAAAATCCTTCGAAAATTCGAAAATTAGCTTTATACAGCAAGGAAGTATATCTAAGTCCGATCTTATCGAGAAACAACAAAATGACCCCAACGTTTCAACACTTTATCACAAGGCTTCGGAAGAAGCAGATGTCAAAAGCGATCCCGTTTGTTATTATATCAGGAATGGTGTATTAATGAGGAAATGGCGACCACCACACACTTCGGTAAACGATGAATGGGCGTATCGATATCAGATAGTTGCAACTCAAGCATATCATCATGATATTCTTAGTCTAGCGCATGAAACCCTACTTTCAGGATATTTAGGGGTAAATAAGACTTATAATAAAATCATTACACATTTTTATTGGTCAGGACTAAGGAAGGATGTTGCAGAGTTTTGTAAGACTTGCCATGTCTGTCAAGTCATGGGTAAACCAAATCAAACTATTCCAAAAGCACCTCTACAGCCAATTCCAGCTTTTGAAGAACCGCTCAGTCGAGTTCTCACTGATTGCGTAGGACCACTACCAAAAACCAAAAAGGGAAATGAATATCTATTAACTATTATGTGCGCTTCAACTAGATTCCCAGAAGCGATTCCTTTGCGAAATATTCGAGCTAAAACTATTGTAAAAGCTTTGACCAAATTTTTTTACGCTTTTGGACTTCCAAACTCAATCCAATCATATTAAGGTCCAAATTTCATGTCCGGCTGATTCAACAAGTTATGCATGAATTAAATATTACGCAATTCAAATCTAGTGGCCATCATCCAGAAAGTCAAGGAGCGTTAGAATGTTTTCATCAAACACTTAAAAGTATGTATCGCATTTATTGTCAAGATAAAGAAAAGGATTGCGATAAAGGTGTTCATTTCCTTCTGTTTGCGGCTCGTGATTCTGTCCAAGAATCGTTAGGTTTCACCCATTTGAATTTGTTTTGGACACACGGTCAGAGGACCACTAAAACTTCTCAAGGAGAACTCTTAAGTGAGGAAAATAATCCAACGAATCTATTAACTCAATTTTCAGATTTCCGAAATAAGTTGACCACTGCATGCGAAATTGCTCGAAAAAACCTTCAATCAGCTCAAAATTGCATGAAAGAAAAATACGATAAAAATTCAATTACGCGGAATTTCAAGGTTGGCGACAAAATACTTGCGTTACTGAAAATACCAGGAACACCGCTTTAGGCTAAATATTATGGTCCGTATGTTATTGAGAAGAAAGTGAGTGATTTGAATTATGTCATCGTAACTCCGGATAGGCGTAAGAAAAATCAGCTATGCCATGTAGATATGTTAAAGCCTTATTTCGATAAAAGAAGAAAGAAATGTAGGAAGTGTAGTAAGTAATGCATCTGAGGAAAAACTTCCATCTTTAACTGACACTGCGAGTAAGCTAAGCAACTCTGAAATCTTGAAGAATATTCCTTCC